TATAAAACATAGTCTAAGGTAATTCATGGCATATGAGAAGCTTTAAGATGTGATAAACACATAAGTGCAAACCCTCATGAAATAAAACTGTTCAGTACTATTTATCCAGTTGACATATGTTCATGACAATAGCATCCACCACATTCTTTCCTATATTGTAGCTGCTGAACTTCTGCAGCCTTAAACTAGAGAATCCACTATCATTTGCAAAGAAGTGACTTCAAGCTTTTCTGGCTCCAGGCTAGTTGAGTATTCCTTTGTTGAAAGGTTTAGAACTTTCTCTTCCCTTGCAGCTCCGCCCCCCCCCCCCACCCCAACTTTAGCAGCCTTCCTTTCCCCCAACACCCACAGCAAACATGGGTGAGGAACAGTCTGTGATTCGAAGAGCAGGAGTCAGATACTCTGATTGTTCCATATATGGCTGGGCATCAAATTTTCTCTGATTAGTCACAGGAACGAGCAAACCTTCCTGGCCACTTTCAGATTTCAAGATGAATTCAACTGTCACCCATGTATGCTTTGTGTGCTGGGCATTTGGCATCTCAAACAGGGCCTGCAATATTAACAGCTCCAGTCTATGATGCAGAACCCTACTAAATTACAATTTAGGGAGACAAATAGCCTAAATAAATTCCAATTAATTACTCGAAGAAATGGGGCTGGATTTCAGAATTTCGAGAGATGGCAGTCCCAAGTGACCAATATTCGCATCAACACCTAAACAGTTGACTTTGGAAAATTAAGTGGAAAATGTTGAGGTTGCAGGATTCCCTTTCAATGCAGTAAGTTTTTTTTTAACACAGTGATTAGTCATGATTTGGAATGTACCATTTGGAAAAGTATGGAAGCCAATTCAAGACTAACTTTCTGAAGAGAAGTGGGAAAATGCTTGCAGGGCTGGGGGGAGGAAGAGCAAGGGAGTGGAGCTAACTGGAATGCAAAGTCTTGATGGACCGAACGGACTCTTCCTGTGCTCTAAGGCTCTTTGTGATTGTCTTACAATTAGAAAGGGAAGCACACGATTTGAAGTCACGCAGGCATTTTAACCCAGGCTGCCTTTCTCTGTTCTGCTAACCATATTCGCTCTCATCCAGTACATAGTCTATTTCAAAAAAGAAACATTTACTCACAGGAATGCCGAACAAACCAGGGGATCCAGGTTGTCCCGCTGCACCAGGATCTCCTCTTGTCCCATTGCAGCCATCATGTCCAGGAGGTCCCCTGGGGCCTGGCTGTCCTGGGTGACCCTAAAGCAGTGGCAGTTTCAGCACAAAGTCATTCATCCAGTATAGAGAAGGCAGTTCAGCTGTTCCTACTAAATCATAAGCTCAAGGAACTAACTTTTAATCAAAAAACAAACATCTCTCCAGGGATTATAATGAGTTCCCTGATTGGGGCTGTTATGCTGGTGAAATCAGATGGGTCTGCCTGACAGACAGAAAGGAGAGTGTCAGAGATGCTGGAGTTGGGAGTTGACTCTGAATGAGGCAGGACAAAAGTGAAGGACTGCTCATGAGTAAATAAACGGTGACTTAGTGATGGACACCAGCTTCTGTGGGAGTTATTTCAATCTCCTTTCCTTCAAGTCCAACAATAGGTCATAGAAAATGACGTCGAGGCTCAATTTGCAGAAGCTGCATTCAGTTCTGGGACGCTGCACCTCAGGAAGAACAGATTTATCAGAGATTAAAAGGTTAATAAGAGGATAGTTAAGGCTAATATCCTCTCAAGTTTAACAGGTTAGGGGCTCAACAAGCTGAGGTATTTATTAGACAAGTTAGTCGGGTTGATAGAGATGTTTCTGGTGGAGAGTCTAGGACAGTACAGGGGAGCACAAATGTAACTTTCGAGCCTGGCGATTAAAGGTAATGTCAGAAGCACTTCACACAAAAGGGGACAGGAAATCAGGAACTGTCTCTCTCTTTACAGGAATCTCTGAATGAAGCAATCACATTGCTTCCTGGGAGGTATGACACAGAGAAACTACTTCCTCTGGTGATTGGAAACTCCAAGGAGTTTAAAGGGTTTAAAGGATGAGGACTGTTGCATTATCTTTGTTTACCTTTCTTTGAGTTTACACATTTCATCTGACTGAGATGCTTAAAGGAATCCCACAGGGTAAGAGGCAGGAGAGCCATTACAGATAGACTCTGACTGAGTACTTACCGGTATTCCATCATTGCCTGCAAACCCGGGCACTCCCATTGGTCCCTGTGTTAAAATGAGAAGGAGGTGAAATCAGACAGGAAAACTAGCCAATGAAGTTGTAACTCACACGTTAGCAGTAACATGGACCAAGGTGGCTCTAGGGCTAGAGATAACAGCTGGACTGTCCCAGTTTGGAATAGTCCATGTGGAATGCATGCTGAGATTGGCGGGTATGTTGGAGACAGGCAGTAACTGGGAATTGAGCCTGGAATGGTGGAATGCCAGATTTCTGATCTTCTTCAGTGGTCATCCAATAAAGGCACAACACAGTGGGACCCTTGTGTTTGGGGAATACAATCAGCTCTGTCACCCAGTCACCCTGATGCCCTTTCCCTGTGGATCAGTCTAATTGATTAGACAGTGTGACCCAGAGATGGGAGGGCTGCCTCATTGATGGTGGTTGGGAAACAGGCAATCACTCAGGGTTGAAGATGGGCATTAGTAATCCCTCCAAGCTTATCCTGAAATGTCCCGTCCTATTGATGGGAGGTCAGAAGAATCTCACCCAGGTGGAGTAAACTGTAGGAAGGGCAGGAATTTGAGGAAATTGCTTCTTTGATTAAAGTCTGCCATATTCTGAGGTTGAGGAGGAGTCTGGGAGATGCTAAGATACATCTCAAGATCCCAAATGGGGGCATATCTGGGTAATGGACCTTATCCTTAGCACATCCCAGAGTGATGTACTCCAATTGAGAAGCCTCAGGAAAAGCCCCAAGCAATCAACAAGTGAAGATCATAGTCCCCAGAATATCCCTATTGATCCTGAGAGTGTCCCTTTACACTGGATCATCGATGCCAGGAATATCCCTTTCATAACAGGTGACCCTTAATGCCATTGACCCCCGTATGTCCCTTTAATTACAGTGTCCGTTTAATAAGTTCCTTTACTTCAGAGAGCTGCCCCCTCTGTTCTGCTGGATCAGAAGAGGGACCAGGAGTGTGTGGCTCTGCCCCTCTCCGGGTTAGTGAGATCAATGTCATGAGGTTGTGGGTGTCACTACATCCCCAAGTTTTCACTAGAGCCAGAAAACCCAGCTTCACAAACTCTTCCTTCAATCTAATTGCACTGGGAAACACCAGAGATATTTCTAGCAGCGTCAGAGCAATTTCTGGCTGGAACATGCTTGGGTTATGATCGAGCTACATTTTGATCAAGGATTTCCACTGTGCGTTCGTAGAAGGTAAACTTGCTAAAAGTTGATCCTTCCTCATCTCCGTTTCCCATGTTATGTTGGCAACTGAGTTGAAACTGGGTGATAATGATTGCAGGGAATGATGGCTGGGTTCAACTGTGAAGCAACAGACCAAGTGATAACTCCCCAGTCCCCTTCCTCTCATCCACGGCTGAATGGAACATCAAATCATTTCAAACCCCACAGGCCAATTCAGATTCAACTTCAACTTGATGGTGAATTAATTCCAGTAATTAAGGAAAATTAGGAGAATGTCCATTTAGTTAATGCCCTGATGTCACAAAGGTTTACACAGAAACATTGAGCCCTCTAACTGTTCTGTTTCTCTGATCAGCACAAATGATTGTTTTATAGGAACCTTGTCTCCTGTTTGTCCAGTCAATCCAGGTTTGCCTCGGTCTCCTTTCGCTCCTTTATGTCCAGGAACTCCCTGACGTCCCGGAGGCCCAGGGGGTCCTTGAGGTCCTTGAGATCCTGGCACACCTGGCCGGCCCTGGAATAAAAATTCATCTATCAACCAATGGCAGGCAAAACACATTTTAGACAGGAGACTCGAGATACAATGCGATTCCAGGTATAGGTAGGCTCTAGATACAGCATGGCCCATGCTACAGCATGTCTCTAGATACAGGAGAATCCAATATAGTTTGGCTCTCAGACAAGGAGATGCCTGTTACAGGGAGACTCCAGGTACAGGAAAACTCCAGGTACAGAGAGAGACTCCAGGTACGGGGAGATTCCTGGTATGAGTTGTCGGTTCAGTGGTTTGGGGTGGGAGAGGAGGTGGATATCAGGTAGAACGGGTGAGGGGTCACTTCAGGGCTTTGTGTTGGGGAGATGTTGGGATTGTTGGGTAACGGTGTGTCAGGGGACAGAAGGTGTCATTAAGGGGCAGAACAGTGCTTATTCAGGTGCTCAGTTTAATAGTCACAAAGATGTTCAGGTTAGGTGGATTGACCATGTGAAATACGCGGTTACAGGGATGGGGTTTGTGGGGGGGTGCATCTGGGTAGGATGCTCATCGGAGGATCGGTGCAGACCTGATGGGCTGAATGGCCTCTTTCCACAGTGTAGGGATTCTATAATTCTGTGACTTTGTGAAGCACAGACAAGGCCTCAACACTCAGGTGAATGGCGTTCCTTCCCAAAAAGCGTTTTGCAGTACATTTCTCACCTTGTTGTAAAAACCAATGCTCTAAGGGACTTTATCGAATGGCTCCAGACACAGAGAAATTACCCTGAAGAAATTTCAGCTTCCCAGCCATCCCCATGGAGTCAGGTACGTTGGGATTTCTGCATGGTCCCTACATGAATCCGCTGTAGTAACAACGTGGGAATTTCAGGACCATTATCTTCATGCACGGATTTGTCTGATTATAGTTTCTAGACTGAAGGCTGTTTTGTGCAACAGAATCGCGTAATTCTTTCGCAAAAGATAAAAGATTCAAAGAACCTCAAGTCAGATGATGGATTGCTTCATTTTGGGAAAGATCAATGACTGCAATTAATAGCAATTCCACAAGATGGCAGTGGCAAGCCGGCAAGGTTTAAAGGAGCCAATGTCTGAGATTCTCCAAGCACCGGAAATGCTACAGTGATCAACATGTTCCTTTTACATTCTCTTTTCCTTCTGTTACTTGTGCTATGGGAAGCCCCTTATTTCCGCCTCAACATTATTAATTCTGAATGGCAGCAGCTACAGCTCGGTAAGTAACACTTTTACCACAGTCAGAAATCACACGACACCAGGTTATAGTCCAACAGGTTTATTTGAATTCACAAGATTTTGGGGTGCTGCTCCTTCGTCAGATGAAGTGGAAGGACATGCACGGGCACAGAATTTATACGCAGAGAGATAATGACAAGCTCTGCAGAATCTTGATGCCTATGTTGATATGCAAGATCTTCTTGCCATTATCTCTCTGCATATAAATTTTGTGCCAGTGTGCTTCCCTCCACTTCGTCTGACAGAGGAGCAGTGCTATGAAAGCTTGTGATTTCAAATAAACCTGTTGGACTATAATCTGGTGTGCCTTCTGAGTTTGTCTACGCTAGTCCAACACTGGTACCTCGGCACCATTTTACCATGGTGTCAGTCGGTCTTGGAGTTCAAGTCCCACTCTGCATAACCCAGGCTGTCACTGCGAATGCACTGCTGGGGGAGTGCCGCACAGCCTGATGATTGGTACTGAAGGGAGTGCGTCACTGTTGCAGGGTCAGTACTGAGGAATTCGTGGGGAGATAAAATTATTGAGGATCAGAAAGAGGCCATTCAGCCCATTGTGTCTGTACCAGCTCTATTATCCAGTCTGCCTCTAATACCTAGTGCCAATCTCCTGCCTTTTCCCATATCTCTGTACACCACTTCCATCCAAATAATCATCCAAACCCCTTTTAAATGAGTCTGTTGAACCTGCCTCCACCATATTTCCAGGTACTATATTCCATACTGGAATTACTCGCTGTGTGAAACCTTTTCTTTCTCATTTTTTTATTCATTCACAGGATGAGGGTGTGGCTGGCTAGGCCAGCATTTATTGCCCATCCCTAATTACCCAGAGGGCAGTTAAGAGTCAACCACATTGCTGTGGGTCAGGACATGTAGGCCAGACCAGGTAAGGATGGCAGTTTCCTTCCCTAAAGGACATTAGTGAGCCAGATGGGTTTTTCCAACAATTGACATTAGTCATCGCTAGATTCTTAATTCCAGATATTTATTGAATTCAAATTCCACCAACTGTCTTGCTTCATTCACACATCACTTTAAATCTATGCCCTCCTGTTCTTGATTCTTTTACAAGTGGAAACAGATTTTCCTGATCTTCTCTGTCTAGTCTGCTCATGGTTTTAAAAATCTCTTTCAAATCTCCCCTCAGCTTGCTTCTCTCCAAAGAGAACCACTCCAACTTCTTAGATCTATCTTCATAACGAAAGCTTCTTATCTTGGGAGCCATTCTTGGAAATCATTTCTTAAAAATATTCACATCTTTCCAATAACGTGGCATCCACACTATACATAATACTCTAGCTGAGGTCTAACAAGTGTCATGCACAAATACAACATTAGCTCCCTGCTCTTGTATGCCCTTACTAACAAAGCTGAGGACACTGTCTGATTTATTTACTGCTCTCTCTCTCCACCTTTAATATCACTTTCAATGATGTTTGCACGTACACGCCCAGATCCCTCGCCTCCGGCACCTTCTTTAGTAATATATCCCCTATTTTATATTGTTTTCCAATATCCTTCCAACCAAAGTGCATCACCTCCCACTTCTCTGCATTGAACCTCATTTGCTACCTCTCCATCCACTCCACCAACTTCAATGATCTTTTGGAGTCACTGTTCTTCTCTCCATTTACAATTCGCCCAAGTTTAGTGTCATTCGCAAACTTGGAAATTATCCCCTTTATATTAGCTGCTAGTCTTTCTCAGTTTCTCCTTGCTTTTCTTATTTGCTTTTTTTAACCTCTCCCTGAAACCTACAGTATTCCTATTGATTCTCAATTGTATTTTCTGTCATTAGTCACAATGAATGACTTCTTTCTCACGACTGACTTTTGTTTTGAGGAGTCTACAATATCGAGTATACAATTTGAAAGAGAGGGAGATCACAACTCAGTAAAAATTCTCTTTGCGATCACTGCGTACTGTTCTCGTTGAATTAGACTTAGCAGGAAGGAGATTTGCCAGGCCATAGAACATGAGGTCTGTTTACAGGAATGGCTAGCAACACTGAGGTGGGATGAGATTTGAAAACTCCAAAACCAACACATGGAAAAATCTGTCCTTTGTATGTTCACAGTTTAGATCTATCCCGGATAATTATTTTTCCATCTTTCTGCATTTGAAAGGTTTCTTTTCCCAGATGATGTGGTAAGCAAGGAACAGGAAGGAGAAATTGTACTGATTCAGACAGAGTATGAGTTCTGAAAGATGCAAAGCTTTCTGGATGTTTTATATGGAGAGGATGTGAAGGAAATCATCTCAGAACGCAGCATGTTCTACAGCTTCAGGGCAATAAACATCACCATTAGCTGGGACTACACAGGATTATGAAGGGTACACAGCACAGAAACAGCCAAACAATCCATTTGTACTTCACTCAATCTCTCATGTTTCTTCATCTAAACTTATCATCATTACAATCTACCCCTTCTTCCACATATTTGCGTTTAGTTTCCCATTAAATTCTGGGTAAAGACTTTTTTTTATGAATTCCCAAGTGGATTTCTTGGTGACTATTTTGTGTTGGTGGCCTCTATGCCTGATATTTCCACAGCAGAAGGCATCCTTTCGCTACCCAATCTATTCAAAACCTTTCATAATTTTAAGGAACTCTATCAGTTCTCCCCTCAGTCTACTTTATTCAAGTGAGAAGACAGGGAGTTTGTGGATCATTTCCAGATATGTAAATCCATGATATCATCTTGGTACATCTCCTGTTTAGTGCCTATATACCCTTTTTAATAACATGGCGACCAGAATGATATGCAGTACTCCAAATGTAGTCTGAACAGGGCTTGATATATTGAAATAATTACCCTGACTTGGTGTATAATTGGCCACGAGTAGTTTTGGTGGAATACTGGGGACATCTTGGCACCAGACTCCTCTCACCCAGGAACCCTGAAAACTGGGCAGAGAATGTGCATCAAACAATAAGTAACAATGTGAAGAGAAACCTGGAATAAAAATTCAATCTGAGGCAATGGCAGAGGAACAGAGTTATGGAACAAACAAATGTTCCCTGCTAAAGGCTTTCACTGATGGGGCTGTCATACATTTTGTTTGGTAATATGAACCATCTGTGCCTGATATTTTAAAAAAAGTTTGCAGCGGCAGTGAGCTGTAAAGTTAACTTCAGGAAAAATGATGTTAATGCCAGGGATTACAGGAGGTGTTTCTTATATGAATATTGTAGCCAAGAGTGTGTTACCATTTACTTTGTGAAGCAACAAGTCAAGTGTGATGAAAACTCTGGAAGAAAACTGCTGGAGTATACAGATGTGAAATTGAAATTAGTGAATGAAATTCCAGGTAAGTTGCTTTCCTGCAGGATTTCTCTGGGAATATTGTGGGAATTTGGATTCTGACAGCACACTGTAGAACTTCCACAAATAAATCTCACATTCTCCAGAGAACTGGAAGAAACCCATCCTCTCTGAAAGTTACAGACCCACTACCTGGACTATTGCCAGCCCACGTTCCTTTCCCAGTTTGTTTCATTGCTCACAGCTGTAAAGTAGAGGGAATGCAGAGTAAATAAAGCAGCAGGAATTGGGCAGAACACAGGGAGGGTTAATAAACACAAGAACTACACTGCTGGAACTCTACAAACTACCCCTAGTGCCAAACTTGCCAACACACTTCAGCGTCCAAGTCAAAACACAGTAAAGTCATGCAAAACAAAAGCTCTTTTCTTACTTCATGGCCTTAAGAAAGTTGCTTTGTACTTGATACCGCAAGGACTGAGCCACTCTCAGTGCAGAGGGGAGAGCAAAGGACCAAAAAACTGGACAATGTTCAGATGACTCCACAATCCCAAGTCCCCATCTCCCCAAGTCCTCACCTCCTTGAAACTCTCTTTCTCTCCAAGACGCCCCTCCCTTAAGCACCCTCTCCTCACGGCCCTCCCATCTCTGATCCCTCTCCTGGAGCACCATCTCCCCATCTCTTCCTTTCCTTGGATCCCCTTGTCTCAAAGGCCTGTCTACAAACCCCTATTCCTCCATCTCCCTACACCCCTTCTCCCTCTCCATTCTGCTACCTTCTTTCAAACAACACTCTCCACAAGCCCTAAATTCCTGAACCTCATCTCCACAAACCTCCTCTCTCTCTGGCATTTGGTCAAACTGTAGTAAACGTCTCACTGTGCTATATGCTCTCACTGTGATTACACTGCATTGCAACCTTTGCTGTCAGTCTACTATAGGCCCTTACTTCAGTATATACAAAAACTGTTGCTCTGCCCAGCTGACTGGTATATTGATACCCTGCTGCACTTTACAGCTATCCTCCTCATTATTTACCAACCCACCCATTTTCATGTCACCTGCACACTTCTTGAACATACCTTCTTTCTTTAATTCAAAAGTATGCACGTATACCACAAACAGCATGGACCCCAGCACTGAGCCCTGTGGAACCCTACGGGAAACAGACTTTCCAGTCACAGAAACATGCCTTTGCCATTACCCTCTGTTTCCTGCCTCTCAGCCAATTTTTGATCCAACACGCCACTTTGTCTGGGATCCCACGGGCTCTTACTTTCTTGACCAGTCTGCCAATGAGGGACCTTATCAAAAAACTTGCTAAAGTACATGTGGACCACATCAAAAGCATTATCTTTGTCAACAGAGATAGTAGGAACTGCAGATGCTGGAAAATCTGAGATAACAAGGTGTAGAGCTGGATGAACACAGCAGGCCAAGCAGCATCATAGGAGCAGGAAGGCTGACGTTTCGGGCCTAGACCCTTCT